TATATATATATACACTCTGAACTTCAAATCATCTAAGCTGGTAATTTTTTTTCCTGCACAGAACTCATCCCATCCGAAATGTTCTGCTTATTGTACAAGATAGTGTACCTATGCAAGCAAGACATCCCACCAGAAATATGATTCTTTTTTTAACTGCCAGACTAAGCAGAAAAAATAGGTAAGAGTTTATATAGTTGGAAGTCAAAAGGATTAAACCAATTAAGAAAGGTAAAATATCTAATACGGAAAATAACATTAAAATACATTAAAATAAACACAACTCTTCTTAAGCTTAAAAGCCTAAGCCAAGCTTACAGCTAAAGAATATTGTATCCTTGATTATGGCTCAAACAAATAAACAGGTGTCTGCATAAAATAGTTACCACTTACCAAATATGTGTCCTAAGTTTGCTTCCATTTTTATTTCAAACACTTGAGATATGACATAAAATGTCAATAAAAATATCGCTATGACTACTATCAACTTTGCAGCACCTATTTAGAAATAGAGAAAAAAATAAATTATCTGTAAATGTTAACTGTAAGATTATTAAAATTAACTACATGAGAAAGATGTACAAAGCAACAGGATGTCAGGATGTTGAATTCAGAAACTTGCCATACAGAAGTAATCTGCAAGAAATGAGTATTATAACGTAGGATGCAACCGAGCCACTCTGCTAAACTGCTGCACCAGAGACACACACCCTGCTCTCAGACATGAAATCTCCTCTTGTTCTTTCTCCATGTTTCACGCCATGTTGCTTGACATCATTTACCACCCTCAGCAACCAAGAGAAACCACAGACTTTTTTTGTATGAAAACCCAGATCAATAAGGTAAACTAAGCTGACTTGACTTGCTGTTGTCCAAAGCGGAAAGTTCTGCTCTCTCCAATCTCACTTCCCTGTTCTTAGCCACGTGTCCACATTTCTCACTGTTTATAAATATTCCCTTTCTGCCTTTAGCCTCAGATTAAGACAGCTCTGTTTTAATGTGAGACTGAGTGATTATGAATATAGTGTAGCTTGGCTGCTTTGGCCAGTCAGGTCTGAACATTACATTTAAAAAAAAAAAAAAAAAAAAAAAACTTCTGGTCTTCAAGAAGAGCAAGAAAACATTAAAGTTCTAAGTTAAAAAGTAATGAAAAGCAGTATCTCACCTTTACCATTTTTAATATGCTACAGACTTAGGAAGCTTAAAGTTTGAAAAAGCCCAATTTAAGACAGCACTAAGTGGTCCAGCCACCTTCTAGGGGAAAAAAAAAAAAAAAAAAAAAAGCAGAAGCCTACAACTGCAGCATCTTAAATCTGAAATGGAAACCTACACGAGGTACCACCATGAACACTGCCATTTTCAGCAATATATTTTTACAGAATATTTTGCTCCCAGATTATTGTATATTAATGTCTGTCTGAGAGCAGAAATTAAGTGAGAAAGATCTAATGAACACCCCCATCTTCCTCTCTCACCTCTGTATGAAGAATTGTTTGGAAGAAGCAATGCCATGCATGCTTCTGTTCCTCAGATGGCCAGCCAAATAAATCCTCCAGAACAAAAGATTATTCACTCCTTCAAATCTTAAATCAGGCAGTTTAGCAAATCTTAAAATATACAGATTACTCAGCCTTCATAAGAACAAGATATGTTAATCTTTCTAAAGGCTAACAAAGGAAACAAAAAGATATGACTTTTGTTTGCCTACAGTTTGGACTTCCTCTCCCACTGCATGTGCAAGTATATGTATATTATGTAAGAAAGCACAGATGCAAACTGGATTTAAAAATATTACAATGGAATCCCAAAGATGACTGCATTTGAAAGAAAGCAAGCCACAGGCAAGAACTAGAGAAAACAGATGATGCAAATGAACAACAAAGAAGCAGAAAAAAATACTTCAAAGTAACTTCACTGCTAAAGATGGTACCAGAATTTGGAAAGCGGTAATGGAGAGCAGTTTGTTTCTGTAGACAGCATGCAAGATCAATGAGTACAAACACAAGCTGACCTCTCCCACCTACATCTTCTTTCTCTTAACTGAATTTTAAATGCTCCCTTTATGTAAAGGAGGTAGGAAATCTTGAATATCCTTGCAGCATTTGAATAAAAGCAAGGCTGTCTGCTACAGGTTCAATCTTCCATAGGAATTGTCATATCTTTTTGTTTGTAGGACTTAGTAACAAAATAATTAGCTGGAATAGGGAAGAAGTAAGGCTTGGAACAGTCATCTTTCAAGAGATTTTTCAGCCTTTTAAAAATTACAGCATTTTCCCAGTTCTTCAGCAGTTTTGCGTTAACGTGTTGCTCCCAGTTCCACTCACTGAGGCTCTGTAAACACACCATCTAACAACCGCCTTAACCGTAGTGACAAAAAAACCCATCAGGACTAATGTATCAATAAGGCTAGAAGTGCAACCCTCCTGGAAAAGCAAGTGTTGCTGACTCCGGGGTAAGTCAACAGCTGCTTCTTCTGAAACATTAATTATTGCTTTTGATTGAAGTGCAAGACTTCAGAACATCAAGACTGCTCACAAATGTACAGGCTATTCCACTGAAGTGAAATGCCTAAAGTAATAGTTTCTTGCAGTACCATACTGGCAGTGAGATTTTTTTTAACTGCTACACCTTCTGCCAAATGAAATCAGCTTCTCAAACACACATTGAAGTATCTTACCCTTACTGAAAGGCTTTGCAGCTTTAAAACTCTCTGTAACCATTCAGGAAGTTTCAGATACTGTATTTAAAAAGTGCACAGCAATTTTGGTTGTGGTGTGGGGCACAAAAGAAGCCATTTGTTCCCATTTCCTTATTCTTTCAAAGTCTTACATGATTAGCAACCAAAGATCACTTCACAGCACCTTAAGCTGCCACCGCAGTTAAGCTGAAGCATTTGTAAGTAGCTGCTTCCTCTCAGACCATCCCAAATTCTCAAACAAGTTTCAGTTAACTGTCAGAACAGGAGCCGCTGTGCCATTTATGCTTACTTTAAAACCTTCTATTATTGTCAGAACTTGTTAAAGCTATCCACACCTTATTCCACGAAGGACAAAAGTCTGATTTCAGTGAGTGTGCTTACCTGCTATTCTCATGTTTAGTTTTCAGCCAGGTAACGACACTACTGCATTAAAAAAAAGGAAAGTCACCTAGAGAAAAAAAAGAAAAAGTAATTGTAACTGCAATCAAATAAGCAACTTCATGATATGTTAACTGTCACAATACTATGGATTTTCCAGCCAGTAACAGTAATGACAATTGTCCTGAATAGTTAACTCCTAACACAATAAAGGGAAGAAGATGCAAGATGGACCTCTTGCCATAGCATTACTTTCCTTTGTTACTCTATGAAACAAGCCATCTTAAATGTCATTACTTTAATTTCATCAAATCTACTACAAATTATGTTAATTAACCTGTGGCAAGTACTTAACAGTGCTGCATCTAAGCAGCCTTTAATTTCTTAAAGCTGCAAGTTAAAAGCAAGCAATTCCATCAATGTTGCTCCAGAATCACAGTGACATCTGGATATGAAGTCGTTGTTCAGTAATCTAACATAGTAGAACATAACAGAACATAACTAACCAAAACCTGTCTTCAGAAATTATTTGAAAAGCTATTATCACAATCCAGGAAATGCAAATCATTTGATAGCATCGCCAAAACCCAGATAGTTCTCCGGGTCCATGCCAGGGAGGAAAATGTAATATAGACAACTTTTTTCCCCTCACTTGAATCAGTATCTGTAAGGTCAATTACCTACATGACCAGATACTCTTTGCCAAACACCATCACTACCATCCACTGCTTACAGTTTACTGAAAAGTAAATTTCATGCCATGTCACAGAATCACAGAATGGCCAGGGTTGGAAGGGACCTCAAGGATCATGAAGCTCCAACCCCCTGCCACATGCAGGGCCACCAACCTCCCATTTAATACTAGACCAGGCTGCCCAGGGCCCCATCCAACCTGGCCTTGAACACCTCCAAGGACAGGGCATCCACAACCTCTTTGGGCAGCCTGTTCCAGCACCTCACCACTCTCTGGGTAAAGAATTTCCCCCTGATGTCCGACCTAAATTTCCCCTCCCTTGACTTACAACCATTTCCCCTCGTCCTACACATATCAACCCTTTCAAAGAGTTGATTCCCCTCCTGTTTGTAGGCTCCCTTTAGGTACTGAAAGGCTGCAATGAGGTCACCCCGCAGCCTTCTTTTCTCCAGGCTGAAGAAGCCCAGCTCCCTCAGCCTGTCCTCACAGGGGAGGTGCTCCAGTCCCCTGATCATCCTAGTAATCCCATGTCCTTAATAGGCTATATATATTTATATTCACTTGTATTCTACAGCCATAGTATCTTTTTATCCACTGAAAGATCCACGTTTGCCAACCTTCTAAAAGGGTAAAGAGAGCCTGGCATTTTACATAGCATGTATAATGCCTTACTTCTCTAGGCCTGCATCAGCAGAACACATACATCTTGCTTTGATTTCCACAGCGATGTCATTCTGACGTCGAGAGGAACATCCTCAACTGAAGGACAAACAGTTAAGTGCAGTGACCAACCGATACCACATCCAAATGTTGAGGAATATAATTATTCTAAATTATTTCATCTCTCTTCCCCTCCCTTGGAAATTCAGCAAGGCTAAAACAAAAACTACCTGTATTCTGAAAAATCAGAACGTTGTTTTAAATCGGAAAAAAATAGTTTCCTCTTTTGATTATAAACAAAAATACAGAATGAACATATCATGCAACCTCAACTGCAGAATACCTTCATCCCAGCATTTGTGCCCACTGACCCCAGCCATCATTTGTTGCAATCAGACATATGCTGCACAGAATTTACCAAGTGCAAGTTAACTTATGAACACCATGTCTTTTCCCAATACAATACTACTTTACCACATTATTTTTAATTAAAGAACAGCCCATTAGCCATTATGAACACTCGCTGACTGTCACTCTGCAACACTAATAGATTTTGTAATTGAAATTCAGACATGATATGTAAGTGGATCAGGAATTTCTAACAGTGCTTAATTTGTGAGTTTAAAAACATGAAAAACAAGAATGAGACTGAGCTCAGGCTCACATGCATAAAAACAGCAACAACAACATTCTTTCAAATGCTTTCAAAATTAGGTAAGGCAAAAACAATAACGGCAAGCAAAAAACCCACTACTTCTTCCTCCTGTTTGATATATCACTCCAATCAAGCAGGGACATGAGCATTACAACCCAAATATCTTCTTGACTTACAAATGCCTGATAATATAAGTAACCACTTCATTATGATGTTAATGTAATTTACCTCTGTAAATTTACCTCTGCAGTACAACAAAGCTCATATATACCATATCTAGAGTGCAGGAAGTGCAGCCTTTAACAGGATCTACAGGCAGACTGTTGATGAGTAAAGTAGAGCCCATAATAGACACCAGACCGAGAAGAGCATGTGAAATAGACAACAGAAGTAAGCAGCTCTAAGTCAAAATCAGGTGGATCTGAGGAAGCACTACAGTACCTGATTGTAAAACATGGATTTTTTTTTTTTCCCCACCAAGATTGTTTTCTCAATGCAGTATTCAGAAGTACAACAGTTAAAGAATACAACTGGGATGATAAAAAGACACCAACAAACTCTTCAAGTGCCTTGAAATGAAGAACCTATCCACATAGAAGAATCTAAAGCTGGTGTTTTCAGAAGCTGGTTTTCTTCCACTTTAAGTAAAAGGAATTTATTGTTTCCCGGATACTATACTAGAAGGAGGAGCAAGAATTGCAGGTTTACATCAACCATGGACAGGAGCCAAGGCATTCTAATAGTTGGAACAAATTCTACTAACAGTACAGTCAAATCTCTGTTCTGGGCAGATGCTCTCTTCTTTAAGATGAGCACTGCTGCAGATTTCCTATTGCCTACTAAACTTCCAACATTCCTACTTTGCCGAAAGAACTTTTGTGCAATTTCTCATGAGGCCTGAGGACCACACTTTCCTTTTCTTCTGATTCTACTCAGCACTAGCAGTGCAGGCAGGTCTTCTCGTCACAACTGCACCAGCTGAAGAGAGGTTCCTACCATCTGTAAGAGCCAATTTACACAAGCCAACGTTTATAGAAGAATCAGTGACAAAAAGTTCAGACCGGTGACCTCTCGACTACAGGAAGCCATATCCACGCCCTGAATACTTTAAAGAGCATAGAAACATAAAAAGATTGTGGTCTACAGGCAGTTAGACCAGAGTAGCTGGTCAGTAGCTGGCTGATATTTTTCTTGTAGGGTCCAAAGGATATCAACCTTCAGGCAAGGCCAGCTATTTAGCCATGCTGACTCACTAACATTATAAAATTCCAGTACCTAAATCTAAAGCACTGAACAGCATAAAGATAGAAGGAGAGTGCTTTGTTAGTTAAACTAACACAGAAAGTTCTCTCCAAAGTGGCAGAATTTGATCTACTTATTGAAAAAAAGGCAGCAGAAAAACAGCAGCTAAGTAGGAATCCAGATTAGTGAGTTTAGATACTCTTCCGTCACTACAGCCAATGGCACAGGTTGAGTAACAACTCCTTCAGAACAGAAAACAAAAGACAGACAGCTCACTGAACTGGAGAAACCAAGAAATTACACCATCCTGCCACTGCCCAGATCACCACATGAAGCTGCACGCCCATCCACATAGAAAAGGGCTATTTACTCTGTCTGTGAAGTACTAGGGAATGGATACATGGAAAACAGTTGGGAACTGAAGTTACTGGTTGCTTATTTCTCCCCCAACCATCCTCGTGCACTGCCTTATGTCCTGAGGCAGGGGCAATTTCTAGATGCTGTGATTTCCAGTGTCAAAGCCTTTCCAAGTAGCAATCCAAAATGCTACACACAGAATGAAAGTAGAGGAAACAAATCAAAAACAGGAGATTAAAAAAAAAAAAAAAGAAAGAGAAAAAGAGTAAAGTGCTTTCCCCACCTTCATGTTTTACCATTCAGTCAGTTACAGCGCTCATTGGACTTCTGGTTTACTGTTCCACTTTTTGGTAAGCTTGTGTGGGAATGACAATGAAAGCCTGACAAACTCACAATATACACCCATAAAGCTGCTGCATATATTCTTTTATATAGTAATACTAGTTTCAATCTATACAGTATCAGATATCTGCTTTCAGAAGTGATCTGTCACTCTTGTGGGAACTCTGCCAGAAACTTCACAAAGGAAGCTTACACTTGAACTTCATCTAGAAAACAATAACGCTGTGCTCCTGCCAGAAAGAAAAAATAAATAAATAAATAAATAAATCAGATTTTATTAGATGTTCTGAATTACCTAATATGCTAAGATTGGGGTATTCCTGAATTGAAGCAGTTGATATGACGCCCATCAAACAAGCCATTTGTTTCCTAGATTCAGAATGCAGGAGGAAGTTGTTTTAAGTATAGTAGTCATTAAAATACAAGCACATATAGAGACACACAAATGATCTGTTAATACTGTCACCCTTACAACACTGAATGGAGCCCAGCTTGCTGTACTGAGAGGAATTCCATCTAGTGTGTTCAGCTCTCTATCAACCTTGTTCAATGTTCCTGCACAAAGTGCTCTGTGACACAACTCATCTGGGCACAGCCTCAGCCCTACTTGGTTTTAAAGCCACCAATAAATTGCAAGTGGCCAGAAATTTAAGTTTTGTTCAGTTTTATTTTTCCCAAATAGAATTGCTATAAATGTTTTTATATAATAGAACACATGTAAATTAGCACACTGCATTCCCATTTCCCCAGGATAACAGTACTTCTATCAGCAATTTGATAATGCATTCAGATAGTATTTATGAAACAGGAGCACAAAAACAAACAGATGAGAAGCAATAATTCAGAAGGTCAAGATAATTTACTAATCTAGGAAGCTCAGAATACAGAAAGGTAAAAAAAATTAAGCAGTGATATTTAACAAAGTAGAAAGCAGTACACTTCAAAAAGGACATCAAGTGCAGCCAAATAAGTGGCAGTAATGCAGAAAAGGATCTGAGAGCATATATCAGCTCACTAATGTTAGGGTCAGTGATGTAGTACTGCTGCAAAAAGGGAACTGCTCATTATGAACTGTACTCTGCAGTGTATCAAGAGGCTGCTGCACGCAAAGCAAAAAGCAATTATTGTGCTGTGCCAAGTCATCTATATTCTTAATTGAGATCCTGTGTGTATTTTTTTTCCTAAATCTATCTTAAAGCATAATCCCCAATGGAACAATCTAGATAACAATTACATAACCTAACAACCAAAGGGGTAAAACAATCTGGTTTGCTGCGCAAGACAGAATGGAGGTGAAGAGAGCATGCAACAGACACCCTGGACCCTTACCACCAAGATGTAATTCAAAAACAGCTTTAAATGATGCTGAGCTGGACTGTTCTTAATATCTACTGACTGCTTTTTACCTATTTGTAACTTAAACATTTAAAATGAAATATAAACATTTTTTAAATAGTCCCATTCACAAGCTTAAACAAGAAAGGAACAGAAGGATATAAATCACCATAGAACTTGGGAGAAACAAGAGGCAGGCCTCATAAGATGTTTGTTCAACATCTTCATCAATGACCTTGATGAGGGGATAGTGGCCACCCTCAGCAAGTTTGCTGATGATACGAAGTTGGGAGGATTGGCTGACATGCCTGAAGGCTGTGCTGCCATTCAGCGAGACCTGGACAGGCTGGAGAGCTGGGCAGAAAAAAACCAGATGAGGTTTAACAAAAGCAAGTGTAGAGTCTTGCAGCTGGGGAGGAATAATTGCATGCACCAGTACAGGTTGGGGGATGACCTGCTGGAGGGGAGCTCTGCAGAGAGGGACCTCGGTGTCCTGGTGGACGACAGGTTGGCCATGAGCCAGCAGTGTGCCCTTGTGGCCAAAAAGGCCAATGGCATTCTGGGGTGCATTAAAAAGAGCGTGGCCAGCAGGTCGAGGGAGGTGATCCTCCCCCTCTACTCTGCCCTGGTAAGGCCTCATCTGCAGTACTGCCTCCAGTTCTGGGCTCCCCAGTACAAAAAAGACAGGGATCTCTTGGAAAGAGTCCAGCGGAGGGCCACAAAGATGGTGAAGGGCCTGGAGCATCTCTCCTATGAGGAAAGGCTGAGTGAACTGGGTCTGTTCAGCCTTGAGAAAAGAAGACTGAGAGGGGACCTGATCCAGGTCTATAAATATCTAAGGTGTGGGGGGCAGAATGGCGAGGACGGACTCTTTTCGATGGTGAGTGGAGACAGGACAAGGGGAAATGGCCGGAAACTGCAGCATAGGAAGTTCCGCACAAATGTGCGCAAGAACTTCTTTACAGTGAGGTGACGGAGCACTGGAACAGGCTGCCCAGGGAGGTGGTGGAGCCTCCTTCTCTGGAGATGTTCAAGACCTGCCTGGATGCCTACCTGTATGACCTGCTGTAGGGAACCTGCTTTGGCAGGGGGGTTGGACTCGATGATCTCCGGAGGTCCCTTCCAACCCCTACAGTTCTGTGATTCTGTGATAACCTGGGTAGCAGTATGCAAGGTGCAAGTCAGCACCTCCTTCAGTAGTAAGCCCATATTTGTATCCTACTCCATGCAAACCTGTAATCAGGTAAGTAATACTAAATCTGCACCAGCCTGAAATGCGTTGAAGGCTCCAGGGAGACCTCACTGTGATGTTCTAGTATTGAAAGGAGCATATAAACAGGAGGGGGAACGGCTGTTTACAAGGGTGGATAGTGATAGGACAAGAGGGAATGGTTTTAAACTGAGACAGGGGAGGTTTAGGTTAGATGTAAGGAAGTAGTTTTACACACAGAAGGTGGTGACACACTGGAACAGGTTGCCCAAGGAGGCTGTGGATGCCCCATCCCTGGAGGCATTCAAGGCCAGGCTGGATGTGGCTCTGGGCAGCCTGGTCTGCTGGTTGGTGACCCTGCACACAGCAGGGGGTTGAAACTGGATGATCATTGTGGTCCTTTTCAACCCAGGCCATTCTATGAATTAAATTTTCCCCTCACCTAAACAAATTATTTTGAAAATGGTCAAATACTGTTACTACTGTTTGTATCTACTGTATCTGTTAGTATGCATAGCATTATCAGGCATATACAATGCTATCTATAGCATTACCAAGTTCACAGGAATACAATTAGATGAACAATCAAAATTGATTAGTACAAAAAAAAAACAACAAGCTGTTACTTTTATTTCTGAGTCACAACTAGATTAGGATAGTGTTTGCTTTTGGCAGCACAGACTGCCTTCCTCAGCAATCCACAGATGGGCTTTTTTCTCCTGTCAGAAAAAAAAAAAAAAAAAAAAAAAAACCATAGAAAAATGCCATCTGATGTTTTCATACCTGGTAAAGCTCAACCAGCAAAGCAAACTTTTGTTTAACACAGCTGCTGATAATAGACATTCCAGTCTGTTGTCTTCAAGCAGTTCAAAGCGGCAGTGGTTTTCTACCTGAGATTACAAAGTGAATCATTTATTTCAGGTCAGCTTTAGCTATATTTACCTGAGCTCTGGTTTTAAGCCAGTGATTGTGCCAACCTGAATTACTGTATCCCATGAACCAGCCGAGACTACAGAAATCATTCCAAACTAGAGTAGTAATCTAAACTGCTAATAGGATCCATTTAAATACAAGATGCATTTCCTTACCAAGATAACTGCTTATCCTTCTGCTAGACTAGCAGTAGATTTTCACCCTCCATTACGAAACGTATTTAATTTGAAACTGAACTGAAAGGTAGACATACAAAAGAATTACCTTAAAAAAAGTAACTACTGTATTTTTATTTTTATTGTGTCAATGTACACCATTTGTGCCTTCCAATAAGCCTCTCACCTCAGCAGTTATATCCTACAATTACTCCTATAACCATACAAATTCCCTGTGACTATTGCAGAACTTCAACACAGAGGTTGAACGTTGGTCTACACAGAATATTTCTGGGGCAACTGATCCTACAAGAATGACACCACCTGAACTGTATTCAGCTTGGTATTCTGGCAATACTCAACATAGACCTCAAATCTTTGGTTATTCAAACAAGATTTACTTCTGTCAAATTAAATTCCGACTCCTTGAGCAGATGAAGCCAGACCTTACTTCAAAATTAAAAACAGGATGTGCAGCTGTAGAAGAACTGGCTACCTTGCTCGTATTGGTATGTGGTTTCACTTCTAAGAAAGGAAATACATCTGAGAAGAAACATGACTCTGCAAGAGTGGTTTGATACCTGATGTGCAAAACAAACACTTCCCAAAGGAGGTGACAAGTTACTGCCAGCAGCAGGAGCTTGCTGGTCATCAACCCAGCACTTCCACCTTAGGCAACACACACACTTCAAGCCTCACAAACAGGAAAATCTTCCTGTATCCCTGGAAGCCCAAGATAAAAGCACTAAGGAGTGTCCTTCCCACTAAGAATGAAACTCCATCTACATACCTTTAAATTAAACAAAAAGGGCTACAGAACAATCTGCTTCCACAGCACTAACAATGAACTCTTCTCAATCCATACCTTGAAAACTCTTCCATAATATCACACAAATTTCACTTTTAGTTATGATTCCTGAAAATCCAAGTCATTTAAATGTGACAAAGTCAACTGTCTATGGCTACTGATGGCCCCATTACAGAGAATCTTAGCCCTTAGCACTTCACAGGATTGGATAAAATTACACAGAGAAATTCAAAGAGATAAAATTGTTGAGGACAAATTGCAAACCTCATTCACCAGCTTCACTTCTAGCTTCATCCCACAGCAGCAGGAAAGTCCCAGAGCAGTTGTAGCAGAGGAGGTGAGGTTTAACATTATTTCCTCTCACAAGATGATCCAACTATTCTGTAACTGAAACACTGCTGCAAACCCTACCATTTCAAGATTTCAAACTGATCTATGTTTCTAAAAAAAAAAAAAAAAAAAAAAAAAAAAAAACAAAACCACAGATGTCCACCTTGATTTCATCATGCAACAAAAGCTGTATAATCTTTCCAAACCAGCAATAAATCAGTGTGTAATGTATCCATCTGCCAGATCTCAGTGGAGACAACGTGCTGCCACAATACAGCATGCGTTTCAAATGTACAACAGCCTCCACATCTTCAATAAAAACACAGCAGAACAACACACTGTTATCGTGCACCTTACTCTCTTCTTTACAGCAATTCTCAACAGAACTACCAAACAGAAAGGCTATAGATCTGAAAAACAATTAACGCACACATAAATGCTGTGACTTGATACAATCATGTATGACACCACAGAAATTTGAGGCCACGCTTAGAGCATGCCACTTCATCCTGAGGCCTGTTTTGAATAGAGGCATCACAAAAGCAGAACAGAAAAAGAGCATTACGAACACTTCCTCTACAGGTCCAAATTCACTGCAGAATGATTGAGCTATCTCTCCACATTATTATCCACAGAAGTACAACCAGACTCTACATAGCATCTCTAAGATGTCAGAACGGGTTCATCATCTCATGATTGAGATTCATACACTGCACAGAATGCCTTACTGACCTCACCCCACAGAGCTGCACACTGACACTGCACAGCCATGCAGAGTTCTGAGGGATCTGGAAAGGCAGATAGTATTATGGGTACTGAGAGCAGCAAGAGACACCAACACAGACAAGAGGAAAAAAAAAAAAAAAAAAAGATACTACTAATCGCTTAAGCTTCTTTAACAAAAGGTCAGCATGAACTGAGGAAGCTGTATGTGGGAGAAGAGCTTTAACCTTTGCTCAGCAGCAAGCTGATCTCACTAGGAAGCGGGATGCGTCCCTGAGGCAAGCACTTCACAGTGACAGCTGCTGCTCACAGCGCTGTTGATATCACTCCTTCCTCTTCCTCCAAGGGGCAAAGGATCCCCTGCTACACCACCGAATCCATCCTCATCTGTCAGGCTCAGCTGCACTTCACTGTGTGCCATCAGCTGCAGGGACAGCACCACACCTCAGCTCTAGGGAGAAGGGGCAGCTAAGCACAAAACAACCAACATGCAGCAGGGCCACAGCAGGACTACAGGACACTGCACTATAGGGTCATGTTGCAGATATCAGACTGCTGTCAGTAACTAACAACCACCACTCTGCATGACGTGCTCAGAATCATAAGACTCCTGAGGTACAGGGGAGTTTGTGCTCCTGGTCCACATTAGCAGCCAATCTTTTGTGAGGGATGGAGTGGACAACACTCAGAAATGGAGAACTCCTTTATAGCTGCAGTGACTTGCTTTTTTTTCTGTGGAAGATGCACAGAGACAGCAAAGAAAACTGCATCTCCAGACTGGTTTCTGAGCACAGAAGTGCCAGAACCAAAATCCATAACCATCTCCTGACTGGGTACAACATTTCAGCTACCAACACTGAGCACATCAGCCACAGAACCACAGTAGCATTACAGTTGGAAAAGACCTCTAAGATAATCGAGTCCAAACATCAACCCACAGCCACCATGCCCACCAAATCACCATCCTTTGGATGGAGCCCTACTGGAGATGCTTATCACCATTAGGGTGGTACCAATGCTCCTCTGTCCCAAGTTCACCTAGCTGAGATCTTCACTTGCTATTTGGGCTTTTATTAGGAGAAAATCCACCCCTTTCAGAAGCCAGTACTAAAGTTCCTTTCTGGACCTCACATAAAGGCTTGAAAGAAATCTATGGGCTGCAGCGCCTTCAACGAAATGACCATCACCCTTTCTACATTACTTTCAAGCATATCTCTTATTTTTAGAAAGACAGACATTTTCTCCTATAGTGACAAACTGGCTTTTAAGTAAGATCACAAAGCATCTTCATTCTGCATATCCTAACTGTTACTAGTATGTTGACAAAGTGCATGTGCTTTCTCTAGCAATGATCTATAAGCCAAAATAAGTGGCCAGGAGCAGGTCAGAAGCTGGCAGTAGTAGAAGCTTTCACCATCTTAAATGTTTGTGAAATGCTGACTCAACTATCTGGTGATATCACCGCAGATTAAGAAGAAGGTCTCTCCTGCTGCTGTTGAAAGGGCAGGAGAAGGTAGGAAAGTCAATCAGCCACACCAAGGGGGCAAGTTTCCTGAAGAGAAGGGAGCCTGTAAATGTCACCTATTTTGATGTTAATGGCAATTTTAACTGGACTCTCAAGACATTCTCAGAGAACTATGGTTGTTTTGCGCATATAAACACAACCTAAACTTTCGCCATTACAATTGATTCAACAGCTCTGCCAAAGAAATGCAAGGGACAGTTCACTCCAGCAGCTCTCTCTACCCCAATAGTCTTCCAAAGCTGCTTCCCTCTTCCACAAAATCTCATCCATATGCTCTTGGTACTGAGCTCCAACATGAACTAGATAAAGTTAAGTTGCTCTGTTTGCAAATGAAGATACAAATTATTGAAAAGGCACCTTAACTAATAAAGGGCAGAATTAGAGACATAACTTACACAGAAAAAGATTTCTTTCTTTTAAGAAAAAGAAGTCTAAGCCCTCTCGGGACCACTAGGAAAAACAAGACAAGGCTCTACTTGGATTCATAGTTAGACATGGTCCTTCAGAACATCAAGCTGGGAGCCAGATCCCCTAGATATTGTTTATAAATGTTTTAATGTCCAAATGGAGAATTATGATGTATAAAAAGAGAAGTTCAAGCAGCGAGTTTCCTCCTCACCTCTATTACAGCACCAGGCATCAGGCCTGGATAGAACTACAAAATGTGAACTTCATGACTTAGGCTGGACCCACCTGTCTTCCAGTATATGTCGCGGGATTTTGCTCCCTGATGAAGAAAGCTAACCAAAAAGGAATTAATGAACATACATCTGTCAGTGACCAGGCAACCTTCTGGAGCGGCAGGGAGCAGAGCGCAGCAGGAACAGGTTGTTAGATTTGCCCCGACATCTCATGAAGCCTCACTTAAGAGGGTAAGATTCCTGACGCCATTGCCGACGACATTTGTCTTGAAGTAAAATGATTTATTAACAGCCCAGGGAAAGGGAAATCATTCTAAGCCATAAAACAATCACAGTAATTCCAGTGCTGTTGATAGCAAAGTGATTGTCACAGGCTTACGCAGCAGGCCACTGGCTGAGCAAACATGCATGTCTACAGTAATTATACCTTAAATCCTCAACCTCCTCAACAGATTTTTGTGAAAAACCTCAAAACTGAACTTACATATCACTTCTTCTGTGAATAATTTGAATCTTAAGCAGCAAATTCCCAATGTCTGCCAGACATTCATCTTACAGACACCTAATTTTACACTACAAAATAACCTATAATCAAAGTGGTATTTTTGCAACTTCCACAGTACAATCCATCTTGTGGTCTTACAGAAGAAGTCCCTCTCCTATATGCTCTGGCCAAAGCCAGAAACAAAATATCCCGCTGGACTAGCTCACATTTTAAACAACAGCTTACTAAAATTCCATTAAGTTCTCAAACTCTTTCTATGTTAGGA